ACACCTATTCCACCACATCACACTTATACACCTGTTCCACACTGCACCTCCATACCCCTTTTCCACCACCCCTCCCCCGCACCCCTGTTCCACCACTGCATCCCTGTACACCTGGTACACACTGCACCCCTTTTCCACCACTGCACCCCATACACCTGGTCCACACTGCACCCCCATACACCTATTCCACCACTGCCTCTCCACATTGCACACCTGTTCCACCACTGTACCCCCACACACCTGGTCCACACTGCACCCCCATACACCTATTCCACCACCCCGCACCTGTTCCACCACTGCATCCCTGCACACCTGGTCCACACTTAGGGAGATCACGTCGAGGAGTAGAGCAGCGGCGTGCGCGGCTTCAGCGTCCTATGCGGTGGGCGTGGCTTACACGGCCTGTGCCGTGGGCACGGCGGGAGCAGAGTGTGACGTGTGGCTCAGGCCGCATGTGGAGCCCCGAACAGGCAAATCAATCGATCGCCGACGGATCGACGATCAAAAACGTTGCCAACGTTTTCAATCGTCGATTTTAATCGACTAAATCGATTAACTGTTGCAGCTCTAAAAAATACAATACATATATATATATATATAGCCACTTTTGCAGTCAAATGTGAGAAAACCTCACTAAACGGTATGTTTTATGTGTTCCTATTCACACAGCATAACTAAAAAATGATTATCTTTAAGATCTCTCTGCATAGCAGTCTTTTGAAATTGTACAGAGAAAGTCGCAGTCTGCCCAAAGTGACAGTACAATGCTTCTAGGTCTTTAACCCTTTGTTAGGACAGACTGTTCAAATCTAGATTACAACTGATAATGAACTCTGCCAGCACAATACAGACACGGTTAATTATTGGAAACATTAACCTTCCCAGGACCCTCCCCCCTTGCATTCCAGAACAAAACTTATTTGCAGAAAAACAGTTTTTGAGAAAAGGGCACGTAATCTATAAACAGTATTTAAAAAAAAAACTAAGCTATTTAAAGGAGAACGTGTAACAACTTTAAAATAGGTGTTATCTCAGTTTGGCTGCAATAGTGCAAATACAGGTTAAAGCCCAACTTTCTGTATCCTCCTCAGGAAGATTTACCACCACTTCCTGTCCAGATTACACCGTGACAAGAAACAAGAGGATG